CAGCGAGGAGGAGAGCGAGGACGGGGACGAGGTGAGGCTGCGGGGCGTGCCGCGGGGAGGGCGGCGGGGCCGTCCCGGGCCCCGCTCCGCTCCCGTACCGCTTGCTCTGCCCACCCCCCCCCCCGCCCCGTCCCCCCCCTCACCCTCCTCCGGGGCTGGGGGGGGGGGGCCGGCATCCGCACCCGGGCTCAGATAGAACCGTGGCGGAGGAGCTCTCCCCGGGAAGCTGGGGGGGGGGGGGACACGGGGAGGCGAAGGGAAACGGGGTGTGTGTGGGTATGTGCGTGTGTGTGTGTCCCCCTGCCCCACCCCAGCATCCCCGGGGGGGGTGCGAGGAGCAGCCGCGGGGCGTAGATAGGAGCAGCCTCGGGACGTAGAGGTGCGGGTTGTGCAGAGCCCCCAGTGAGCAGAGAAAAATTCTCCTGTCTTTTTCCTGGTGGAGATACTGAGTCTGGTCTCGGCTCCGTTTGCGCCAGTGTGAATGCCGAGTAAGTCACCAGAGTCAAAGTTTTACACCGGTGCAACTGAAATCAGAGTATGCTGGATGGCGCTGGGGCCAGAAACCGTGTCCGTGCCTTGTGCTCGCCAGCGGACAGGTGAGGTGTTTCCACCCCCTCGTTGGTCTCAGCTCACGCCTCTTCCTTCCCTGGCTTTAGACGGGGGGAAACTGAGGCCCGAGGCGGGTCGGGTACCCTCCCTCGGATCGTGTAGCGAGGCAGTGGCAGAGGTGAGGGTAGGACCCCCGCGCGCTGCTCCGGCACGCTCCCCCCCCACCCCACACCCTGGAGCTGAGCCCTTACAAACTCACTCCCGCCCCCCCACTTCCCTCCTCCATCTCCATCCCGCCCCCCCCCCCCGCCCCTGGGTGGCAGTGGTGGGAGGGATGGGGTCGCACCCCCCCAGCCTGCGTGGGGACACCCACCCCCCCCCCCACCCCGTGCTGCGGCGGGGAGGGCGAGCAGGGGGCAAGGGGGGGAGATGATGGATGGAAGGCGGGGGGCCCCCCCGGCACGCCGCTAACCCCTCCTGCCCTTTCCTCTCTGCCCCCCGCCCCCCCCATCCCCAGAATGACGAGGATGATGAGGATGAGGACGATGAGGATGAGGATGACAACGACTCGGAGGGCAGCAGCAGTTCCTCCTCCTCCTCGGGGGACTCCTCCGACTCCGACTCCAACTGATCCGGCCAAGCTCTTAGTAACGTCGTTTGGTTTCTCGGTTTTGGTCCCAAATGCGGCCCCCCCCCCCGCCTTCAGCCCCCCCCCAAAACCCCTTCCTCCTCTTCCTCCTGCCCCCCCCCCCTCAGTGAGACGCAGCCCCCCGTGGGACCCCCCAACCCGGGGAGCAGGGGCTGGAGGGACCCCTCTGCTGAGCTCACACTACGGAGGGGGAGCTGGGGACCGCTCCCCCCCTGAGCCTGGGGGGAGAGGAGGGGGCGAGCCCCCCCATCCCTCTCACCCCCTCGTTTACTCTCCCCTTACAGAGGGAGGTGAAGCGATTATTTTTTTTTTTTTTTTTTGGAGATTTCATTATTTTTGGAGGGTCACCCCGTCCTTGCCCCCTTCACACCCTCGCTACCAGCTCCGGACTTTATAGAAAGAAAAGAAAAACACAGAGGAAAAAAAAAAAAAAAAAAATTTCCCCCCCCCCTTTTTTTTTATTAAAAAACCCCACAAATGGAAGAAAAAAAACAAAAAAAAAACAAAAAAAAACCAAACCCCCCACACACACACCCCCCCCCGCCGGGGGCCACCCTCCTGTCCCACCCCAGGCAGCGGGTGCGGAGCATGAGCCGAGTTGCTCAGGACTCAGCCGTTGGGACGATGTCTCTTTCCCCCCCTTCCCAAAAAATCTGCGTGCCCCCCCCCTCCCCCAGCATCTCGGGCGGGGGGGGGGACGACTCCCTTCAGCACCCCCCCTCTTCCTTTTCTCTTTGCTGCCCCACCCCCCCAAAAAAAAAAAAACAAAAACAAACAAACAAAAAAACAAACAAAAAAACCCAACCAAACCCTTGTACAGTCTGGAAGCTGCACCGGGACCTTCTGCATCCACGGCACTTGGGAACGCCGGCCACGGAGCGTGACCTCCCGGGGGGGGGGGCGGGGGGGGATGGATGGATGGATGGGGGGGGGGGGGGGACACGGGACACACGGGATGTGTGCGTGTGTGTGCGAGCGCGTGTGCCGGAAAGGGGGGGGGGGAGGTGGGGGGCACCCGGGGGCCGTGGCTTCCCCACCCACACCCCCCCCACCCCACCCGAGGTCCCGGCTGCTCAGCGTGACCAATGTGGGGGGGGGGGCGTGGGGGTGCTGCCGGAGCACCCCTCTGTGTTGTCGGTGGTTGTTGTGCCGTTGTATTTTATTTTATTCTTTTTTTTTTGTTGTTGTTGTTGTTGTTTTGTTTTGGTTTTTTTTTTTCTTTTTATAAAACAAGAAAGATTCATCTTTTATTTTTTCTTCCTCCCCCCCCCCCCCCCCCCCTTTTCCCCTCCATCTCCGGTGAAGCTGCTCCTCTCCCTTTGCCCCAAACCCTTGGGGGGTGGGGGGGGGACCAGCTCTCCCCTCATCCCAGTTACCCCCAGTTTGCCCCCCCACCCCACCCCCAGCCATGCTGTAAATATTGGTGCGGTTTGGGTTTATTTTTTGGGGGGGTGTGGGGGTGTGCGTCAATGCTCCCCCTCTCCCTGGGAAGGGGGGATGGGGCTGCGGGGACTGGGGGGGGGGGGGGGGGTGGGGCCTGGCAGCTCCTGTCTGGGCTCCCCCCCCCCCCCTTTTTTTTTTAAGCAGACACAAGCACCAGCAATCCCACGGCACCTCCCGGCAGGGTTCGTGTGCCCCCCCCCACCCCACGTGTGTGTGTGTCCCCCAAAAAACGCCTGGTGCGATTGGGGCTGCCCCCCCCCCCCCCCAGACCCCCACCCTATTTTCAGGGGGGTGGGGGGGGGGGGGAGGCACAATGTTTGTCCCTTTTGGTCCCCCCCTGTCCTGTCCCCGGAGAGGAGCTGGGCTGAGGGACAGGATTTGGGGGGCCCCAGGGAAGGGATTGGGGGGGCACCTGCCCCCCCCCCCCCCCAACTCCCCAGCAGGGGCCTGGAGGCTGGGGGGCTTTTTTTTCCTGTGTGCTTTAATTTAGCAATTTTTCTCTGCTTTTCACCCAAATCTCAGCTCATTGGGTGTCGGGGGGGGGGGGGGCAGGCAGAAAGAGGGGGGGCCAAGCTGCAAGTTTGGGGTTTTTTCTGGCTGTGACACCCCCCCCCCCCCGGGTTTGTTGCTCTTAGCACCCCAAAACCTTTGAGTCACCCCAAAAACACACCCAGGGGCCCCCTCAATGCCAGGGGGTATGACACCCCCTATCACAACCTCTTGCCTCAAATTGGGCTGAAAAAACATCATTTTGGGGGAATTGGCCCTAACCCCAGTGGGGGGGGGTGAACCCAGGTGCCCCTGCACGGACAATCCCCCCGTGTCCCCCCCTGGGACCGGGGCCCCCAAGAGAACCCGGCCGGTGTGTTGTTCCCCTCCCTCCTCACCCCCCCGTGTCCGTCTGTCTGTCCCTCTGTCTCCTCCTCTACCCCCCACTGCCTCCATTTGGGATTTTCCATTAATTTTCTTCCCAATTTTTAATCCCCCCCCCCCCCCATCCCCTAAGGGGAAACCCATCCCTTTTTCTGCTGAATGTACCCAGCACCATCGTGTTTTAGTGGATGTGTTTTTAGTACAAAAAAAAGGCAAAAAAAAAAAAAACAACCTTTTTTTTTTCTTTTTTCTGTTTAAAAAAAAAAATAATAAAAAAAATAATAATAAAAATGAAAAATTCTTACAGCGCTGACAATTGGGGGAAAAGGCGTTTGCGCTGCAAGAGAATTGAACCTGAGTGCATTTTGGCACTGCCACAAAAACCCGGGATCCTTTAGATGGAAGTTCTTGTGAATTACATTAAAAAAAAAAAAACAAAAAAAACAAAAAAAAAATCATCTTTTTTTTCTAATATTTAAAGAGTGTTTTTGTAGGTTTAAAAAAAAGACAAAAAAAAAATTAAAAAAAAAAATAATAATCCCAACTTGGAATTTGTACGGCTGAGCGGGACGCGGGGGCCTCGCATCTGCGGTTTCCCGGTTTGCTTGGGTTTCGTTTTTTTGTTTTTGTTTTTGTTTTTTTTTTTGAGGTTTTTTTTGTTTTGTTTTGTTTTTGTTTTTTGTTTTTTTTTTGTATAATAAAGTGAAAAATAATGTTTCTGTTCTCATGTCATTACTATAAAAAAATAAAACTTTAGGAAAAAAAACAAGTGTGAGGAGTGTTTTTCCTCCCTCCCCCCGATTGTGGATTTGGGGGATCTGTGGGGATCACGGGGATCACTCGGGGGGGACCCACGGGGGTGTGTGTGATCCCTCGGGGCCATTTTGGGGGGCCTGCGTGGAGATGGGGAGGGGGGAAATCCACGGGGGTTCATAGGGATTGCTGGTGGAGAGTGGGTGGGGGTCATTCGTGGCGGGGGGGGATCTTTTGGGATCGCGGGTGGGGGGGGGTCTGTGGTGATGAGGATTAGGGGGGGGTCTTCATTGGAATCAGTATCGGGGAGGGGGGGGCACGGGGGTCACCAGAGGTGGTCTGTACGGGTAGGAGGGGATCCACAGGGATCGGGGGATCCTTGGGAAGGGGGGGTCCGTAGGGCCGGGGGGTCCGTGGGGTCTCTGTGGAGGAACCCGGGGGTGGGGGGGGGGGAAGCCCCGAGGCGCCCGCAGGGAGGCCCCCAAGCCCCGCCCCCTCCATGGCCCCGCCCCTCTTAGCCGCTCCCCCTTTAAGCCACACCCCCCCCTCCTCCCCCCCCCCACCGCCCTCCGACAAGGTCCCGGCCCCGCGCGGCGGCGGCGCCGACGGCCGCTCCCCTCCCATTGGCCGCGCCCCTCACGGCGCCTCCCCATTGGCGGCGGGTGCGGGGGGGGGGGCGGGCCTTGTGCGCGCCGGGTGCGGCGCCCCGCCCCTCCCGGTCCCCCCCCGCCGCCGCCGCCGCCGCCGCCGCCGGGCGGAGGGAGCGCCAGGCCCAGGCCCGCCCGCTCCCGCGCACCGCTCCGGCCCCGGCCCCGGGAGGGCGGGCGGCGCTGCCGCCGAGCATGGCGAGCCGCCGCCGAGCCCCGCGACGGACCGGCGGGGGACGCTGACCTCCCCCTCCCTCCCCCCCCCCCCCCCCCCAATCCCCCGCCTTTCCACACACGCCCCCCCCCCCCGCCCTCCCTCTCCCCCACCGGCCCCGACGGGCCCACCGCGCCGGTGAGTGACCGACCCACCCACCCACCCACCCACCCGCAGCTTCCGCTCCCGGCGCCCCGCCCCGCCGCGGGGCCCTGCGGCACCGGAGCGGGGACCGGTCACCCCGCTCCGGAGGACCCCAGGCCCCCCCCCCCCCCCCCCCCCCCAAGGGTCCCCGGGGCCTCCCCGCCCCGCCTGTGCGCCCCCCCCCCCCCCGTCCTAAAAGACCCCCGTGACCTCCCCCTCCCTTTTCTGCCCCCCCGCGGCCCCCCACACCCTTTCTGGGGACCTCGCAGGCCCTGGGACCCCCCCCCCCCCCCCCTTCCCCCTCGCTTGCTCTCCAGCTGCGCCCCCCCCCCCCCCCCCCAAATCCCCAGCCTGATGCAGCAGCGGCTCCTTCAGGGGTTTCCAAGCCGTGTGCCCCCCCCCCCCCCCCTCCAAACTGGCATCACCCCGGGGCGGGGGGGGGGAGGAGGAGGAGGGGGGGGCAGGCAGGGTGTAGCTCCCCCCTCTTTCGCCCCAAAGCTGGGTGCAGCCCCCCCCCCCCCCCCCAAAAAAAAACTGGGTCCCTGCATCCCTTTTGTTTGGCTCCTCCGGACCTTGCCCGCTGGCCTGCCTGCAGCTTGGGCGGGGGGGGGGAGGTTTGGGGTGGGTAACACCGGACCCCAACCCCCCATATCCCCCCCCCCCCCGGCCTCTGCCTGCACCACACCAGCTTCTTAACCCGGGGGGGGGGGTCCCGTGGGGCGGGGCGGGGGGGGCACAGGTCTGAGCCGATGCCAGCCGGTGTTTCCTCTTTCTGTGGCGGAGGGAAGAAATCCCCGGCTCAGGCCCGGAAATGGGTGTTGGGGTGTGGGAAAGGGGGGGGGGGGGCACCCCCCACCCACACCCCCCCCAAATCCTGGTGGTTGGGTCAGAACCACCCCCCCCGCTCCGTGGCAACGTTGGGGGGGGGGGATGTCAACCACTGGTCAGCGCCGGCCGTTGGTGGGTGCTGGTAGCAGTGCTGGTGGGGGTGTCTTGGCGTGAGTTTGGGGCCCCCCCCCTCTTTTAACCTGCTGTTGGAGGGGGATCTGGGGTGTCCTCTGAGGGGGGGGGACACACACACACGCACACAGTGGTCCCTGTCCCTGCCTTGTGTTCCCCCCCCCTCCATCAGCTTCGAGGGAGGGTGATGCAGCAAAACCCACCACCCCTCTGGGGGGAGGAGGGGGGCAGCTTTGAGGTGCACGAGGGGGGGCGCCCCAAATCCCCTGTGCCCACCTGCAATCCAAAAACAATTTTGGGGGTGGGGGGCCTGACGCCTTGGTGATGGCCGGGCATATGTGGATAAAAAAGCCCCTCCCACCCCAGCTGGCCCTGGGGGGAGGGATGGGGGGGAAGTGGGGGTGTCAGTGGGGTACAGGGGATGTCCCCCCCCCCCATGACAGCCGGGGGGAGGGGGGGGGGCTTTTTTATCCAAACAAAAAGTATGGGGAGCGGCTGTGCTTCAAGTTGGTGGGGGCCAGACAGCGGGTACGAATCCAGGACCCTTCCCCATCTTCCTTTCCTCATGGGGAGGGGGTCAATGCTAGGCTGGGGGACCCCCTGTGCCCCCCCCACCCCCCCCTCCTCATACCTGGGGGGTTTACCTCTGCCTTTCGGGGCTCGGTGACACCCCACAAGTCTCGGTGCCTGCCCTTTCCCCAGGGCATGAGCTGGGGTTTTGGCTGGGGGGGGGGATGCAGGAGGTGGCGGGGGGGGGGGGTGTGGGGGGGGTGTGTGTCTGCTGGCTGCAGGTGAGGTGCCAGCGTGGCCCCTGCCCATTTCCCCCCCCCCCCCCTCAGCGAGACCCCCCCCCCGCGTGTCCTGTGCTATGAGCGTTCGGCGTGACTTCTCCGCGAGCAGTTGCAAATGAAAATGGAGGATATGTCTTTGTCTGGCCTGGATAACAGCAAACTGGAGGTGAGCAGCCCCAGGGCTGGCTGTCCGTCCACTCTGGGCTGTCCGGCTGTCCCCATACCTCTAACAGCCCCCCTCTCCTTTCCCCCCCCCTACCCCGGCCCCCCCCCCCCCCTCCAGGCCATCGCGCATGAGATCTACACGGACCTGGTGGAAGATGCCTGCCTGGGCCTCTGCTTCGAAGTGCACCGGGCGGTCAAGTGCGGCTACTTCTTCCTGGACGACACGGACCCCGACAGCATGAAGGATTTCGGTGAGCGCCCCGCAGCTCCCCGGGGACGCTGGCAACGGGGACAGGGCGAGCGGCACGCTCCCGGTGCCACCGGGAGAGGCTTGGGGGGGGGGGGGGGGGGGGGGGGGGCGGGGATCGGTCCCCCCACGCGTGAGGATTTTGGGTACAAGCGGCACCGAGGAGGATTAAAGATCCAAAGCGTCCTCCTAGTGCTGCAGGGATGTGACCAAGCCTGTCCCAGAGGAGCCATTTTGTAAATCCCAAACCCCAGAAATTTTGCCCCAAGGTGCGGTGCTCTGCCCTGGGGGGGGGGGGGCACGGCTGGGTTGGGGAGGGGGGAAAGACACCCCCCCACACAGCGTGGCTGCGCTTGCTGCTGGATTCAGGCCCCTGAAGCCAAACGGAGGGTTTGGGAAGGGACCAGTGGCCCAAGGGAGAGTCACAAACACACACACACCCCCCCCCCAGAGCAAAGCGCCGGAGCTGGGGGGGCACGGGGTGGTTTTGGGAGGGGAGCGGGGGCTGACGGCGTGTGCCTCCCGCAGAGATCGTGGACCAGCCCGGCGTGGACATCTTCGGGCAGGTCTACAACCAGTGGAAGAACAAGGAGTGCGTGTGCCCCAACTGCAGCCGCAGCATCGCCGCCTCCCGCTTTGCCCCCCACCTGGAGAAGTGCCTGGGCATGGGCCGCAACAGCAGCCGCATCGCCAACCGGAGGTCAGCGTGTGTGTGTGTGTGTGTCTCCCCCCAAAAAAAAGCCGAGCGGGGGGGACGCCTGTGGTTCCCCCCTTGCGTGGGGAAACTGAGGCACGAGGAGGGACTGAGGGTGTGTGAGTGCGGGGAGAGGAGGGGGAGAGTGTGGAGGTTTTGGGCACCCCCGTCGCGATGTTGGGATGGAAACTGGGCATCCAGGCTCTCCCCTCTCCTTGCTTTTCATTTTGGGGGTGCGCATCCTTGACACCCCCCCCAATCTTGGAGTCCCACTTTCCTGCTCTAACCCGCGTTGCTTCCTTCCTTCCTTCCTGGAAAAACAAATCGGGAATCCTGGCTCTGTCCCTTGGTGGCTCCTGGGGAGCCCTGTCTTGGTTCTGGGGTGGGCATGGCAGGGCTGGTGGGGTGCAGGGTGGATCCTGGGGTGCTGGGGAGGGTGGGGGAAGGGGTAGGAGGGATCCGGGGGTGCCGGGGAGGATCCCGGCTGTGGGTCCCCGACCTTCCTCCCCTCCTCGCGCAGGATCGCGAGCAGCAACAACATGAACAAGTCAGAGAGCGACCAGGAGGACAACGACGACATCAACGACAACGACTGGTCCTACGGCTCCGAGAAAAAAGGTTTGGGGGGGACACGGGGGGCACGTGGGGGGGGACACGTCCCGGCTGCCCCCGTGGCCCTTGAACCCCGGTCCTGGGCACGCATGCCGGGGGTGAGAGCAGCTGAGTGGGGGGGGTCCCCGACTGCCCCACCCCGTCCTGGGGTGGGGGGCGGAGGGTGGGCTGGTGGCGGCTGCTGGGGCTAAATCCACCAGAAATGGTAAAGTTTGTCCCCTCTCTGCCTCTCCCCGTAGCAAAGAAGAGGAAATCGGATAAGGTGAGGGGGCTGGGGGGGGGGTGGGGGTGGGGGGCACGGGGGGGTGTGTGGGGGGGCACTGTGCACCCCTCAACGCCCCCGCTCTCCCTTGCAGAACCCCAACTCGCCCCGCAGGTCCAAGTCCCTGAAACATAAAAATGGTGAGGGGGCGGGGCTTGGGGGGGCGGGGCTTGGGGCGCGGGGCTTTGTGGGCGGGGCTTTGGCGCGCCAGAGGGGGTTGGCGCATCGTTGTGGGGCGGGGCGTCCGCGTCGGGGGCGGAGCTTAGGGAGTGGCAGCCGGGATTGGGCTGTGGTGGGGGCGGGGCTTGCGCGCGGGGGGGCGGGGCTTGCGCAGAGGCTGAGCTCTCCCTGGGTGGCGCTGGTGGCAGCGTGTGGGGGGGGGACACACACCGGGGGGGGGACAGGGACACCCCCCCCGTCACCCCCTCCTCTCTTTTAGGCGAGATCGGAGGGAACCCCGATCCCTTCAAGGTGAGCCATGGGGTGGGGGGGGGGGGGGGCAGCCAGCACCCGGTTCCTTTTCTGTCCCCTGGGATGGTCCTGTCCCCCCCCACCACTGACCCCCCCCAACCATCTCTGTGTGTCGTGTGTGTGTGTGTCCCCCCCAGTACAGCAACTCGGCAGGAATCAACTATGAGACGCTGGGCCCCGAGGAGCTGCGGACGCTGCTCACCACGGTGCGTGGGGCCCATCAGCGCCGCGGGGGGGGGCGGGAGGCACCGGTGGGGGCAGAAGCCCTGTCCCCACTCAGATGGGGCACGTGGGGACCGGGACTCCTGGGGTGTCTCCCAGTTCAGCTCCGTCCTGGTGGGGCTGGCTGCCAGGTTGGGGATGGGGACGGGGACGTACATTTTTCCCCTGTACCCTGCTGGGCAGCAGGTCCTGATCACGGGGGAGGTGGTGGGTGCTCTGTCTGGGGGGGAGGACAGGACAGCACCGGGAGATTGGGGGGGGGGGATCCCTCAGGGCCATCATGGTGGAGCGCAGCCGGGGGCAGCGGGGGCTGCGTGGCTGCTTCTCTGCCCACTCACCCGTCCCTTCTCTCCCCAGCAATGCGGGGTCATCTCCGAGCACACCAAGAAGATGTGCACCAGGTGAGAGGGTCCTGGGCTTTCCCTGCTCGGTGTCATGCTGGGGCGGGGGGGGGCTTTGGGTGGGGTCCCCAGGGGAGCTGAGGAGGTGGGGGGGGGGGGCCCCCACAGCAAAACGCCTGACTCAGCCCCGTGTCCCCTCCATCAGGTCCCTGCGGTGTCCCCAGCACACGGATGAGCAGCGGAGATCGGTCCGGGTTTACCTCCTCGGTCCTTCCGCGTAAGTGACCACACACACGGGGTCCTAAAAGGTCCTGGGGTCCAAAAAGGTCCTGGGGGGCCACCGTCCTGGTGTGGGGACAGGGACAGGGCTCCGCTGCCCAGTGCAGATGAGACTGGGGGGGGGCTGCACAGGGCACCCAGGTCCCGAGTGAGCCACGGGGACAAGGAGGGTTTGGGGGGGCTGGGGTGGGGATATGGAACCCAGCCGGGTGCTGGGGAGCTGGATCGAGCCCTTGGCATCTCCCTCGCATCGAGGGGAGGCTCTGTGTGTGTGTCCCCCATCCCTCCCAGGGCCTGGGGACCCCCGTAACGCCTGTGCCCCCCCCCCCCCCCCCCATAACGCCTGTGCCCAGGTCCCTGCCCGAGGCGGAGAGCAGCGTGGAGAACGACAGCTTCGAGGTGGCGGAGAGCCAGGCCATCATGAGCCGGCTGCAGTGGGACGGCTCCTCCGACATCTCGCCCTCCGACTCGGCCTCCTCGAAAGCCAGTGAGTGCTTGGAGGGGGGGTGGGGGGGGGCGCAAATCCCAAATCCTGCAGCACAGACCCCTCTGTGGGGGCAAAGCTTGGGCGATCCTGGCCCCTCCCTAGCACAAGAGGGGACGGACAGACCCCGAAGCCACCTCGAAGAGTCCCTGTAGCACCTACTGGGACATCTTGTCACCCACCCTCCCGGGGTGAGGGCGGCGTTTTGGGGGGGTCCATTTTTCCTGGGTATGGATTGGTGATGGGGGGGATCCTCACTGATTTTGGGGGGGGGGGGGGGGCGTTTCTTTTGGCTCAGCTGTTCCCCAACACCCCCATCTCCTCCCTTTCTCCCCCCTCCCCCAGGTACAAACAACTCTGAGTCCCGCAAGACCAAGAAGAAGAAGCCCCACTTGGGGCTGGTGAGCGGCGCCCCGGGGCTCGGCTCCAGCAAGAAGAAGAAGCCCAAACCCCCCGCGCCCCACACCCCCAGCATCTACGACGACATCAACTGAGCGCAGCGGAGCTGTTGGGGGGGGGCGGGACGGACAGACGGACAGACACGGGCCAGGGCAGCCCCTCCCGCCCCGCCGGGGACAGCCCCGCGTTTCGGACACAAAGCGGGTACCTGGGGGGTGAAGGAGGGAGGACTTGGCCATTGCTGGGGGCGGGGGGGGGGCTGCTGGATTTGGGAGCCCCCATTAAGTTGCCCCCCTTCCTCCCCGGTGCCTCTATTTATTCTGTGACGTATTTTTTTTTTTTTTTTTTGTACGGGGAGGGGTTCCTGTCAGGGCTCTGAGGGGGCATCTCGCTCAGAGATGGGGGTACAACCCCACCCCACCCCCCTTCCCTTCCAAAAGCCAGCAGTGCCCCCTCCCACGCTCGCCCCTCCGGAGCACCCTTACCCCAGCGGGGTGGGGGGCAGCTAGGTGATGGGAGGGGGGTGCAGATCCCTCCTGCCCCCAGGGATTTTGGGGGGGGGGGCAGTCCCTGGCCTGGGGCTGCTCCCCTTCTCCATGTCCCGGGCCAGCGCTCGCTGGTCGGGCTGGCTCAGGATGGGGGTGGGGGGAGCATGTTGGGAAGGGGCTTTTTCCTGCTCCAAGGCAACAAGTGGGGACCCCCATGCACCCCAAATCTGCTGTAAATGGCTGGATTTGGCTGCTGGGGGTGTTTGGGGCCTGCACAGGGCTTGCCGAGGCCCTGGGCGGGGGGGGGGGCAGGTCTGCATGCTGCATCCTTTGTGTTTGGGGGGGGGGGGGGGGGCACAGCAGGGACTCCATCCCCAACTTGGGGGGTGGGGGGGAGAGCTGCTGTGCCCTTTGCTGCTCTGAACTGGCCTCTGTGTGGGGAGGGAGGACTCCAACATGCCGGGGACATCCCGTGTTTCACACCCCCCCCCAACCCCCCCCCCCCCAAATCTCATATCCCCAGGCTGGTGGCCTCAGGGCAGTTCTGTGTCCCTGTCCCCACATGCCTGGGGACCTGCTGCTGCAGTCAAGGGGGGGGGAGCCTTTGGGACCCCCCCAAAAGCTCCAACTGGTGTTTGCACCCCCATGGACTCCGGTTCTTGGCTTGGGGGGGGGGGGGGGGAGCTGGGACAGGCACCCCGCTGTGCGGGCCTGGGGACACCACATCCCCCCATACCTCCCCCCCTGCTTTGGCTGTTTTCTAGTGCAGGGGTTGTGTTGGGGATGGGGTTCGTTCACCCCCCTCCATTGTACCCCCCCCCCCAACAGCTGTCTGACACCCCAAATTTGGCTGTATGTCCCTGGGGGGGGGGGGGGGGGGGAAGGCAGGGGACACCCCAGTCTCGGGGCGGGGTGGCTGGTCCTTTTGGTGGGTCTTGCAAATTATGGTGCTCTCGACTCTGGATTCATTATTGTTTTAAAACTGCTGCTAAAGGCTAGTGCCGTGGCAGGACCCGGGGTGGTGTTGGGGGGGGGGGTCCCCACAGAGCCCTGGGCACCCCAAACTGCCGGGGGGGGGGGGCCCCAGCTGCGTGGGGACCCCCGCACAGTCCCTCCTCACTGCAGTCAGCTGTAGCTCCCAGCCGAGCTTTGGGGCTGGGAGCTGGCGGGGGGGGGACACGACCTGGCCACCGGAGCACGCCGAGCTGGCCTTCGCGCGCCCCGGGGCCCAAAAACGGGGGTTTGGGCACCCAAAAACACAGAGGGAACCTCCCTGGGCTCCCCCCCCCCCCAACTGCCTGAGGAAGACACAGTGACTGGGGGGGGGGGGGGGGCAACACACACACACACACAGGCTGAGCCCCTTCAGCTGCAGGAGAGGCGCTGCAATTTGGGGTCCAAGATGTGTAACGGGGCTGGGGGGGGGGCTTCGATTGTGCCCCGGTGCGTCCCCCCCACCCCTCCCCAGGTCCGTGTGTTCCCCCCCCGCCCCCCACGGCAGAGCCGGTGGCCGCCCAGAGCCCTCCCGGGCTTGAGACTTGTATTTTCGCGCACGTACTCCATCCCGTACGGGTAGTTGAGCCGTTGTAAGGTCTGTGTGTCCCATTAGTGGGTTGTGGCTGCCCCTGTAAATAAAACTGCATCTCAACTTGGTATCTGTGCGGTGCCGGCGCCTCGCTTAATTAACGTGATTAACCCTTCTCATCGCCCCGCCTGGCTCCCACCACTCCATTTACCAAAACCTACTTCTGGGGCTGTCGTTTTTTGTTTTTTTTTTTTTTTCTTTTTTTAAGCACCAAAAGCCTGGGGAGGGCAGCAGGGTGGTGAGCCAGCTGCGGTTCCGCCGACAGCAGCCCCTCAGGCAGGAAGGCGAGCGCTCGGGCTGACGTGACACCTTTTATTTGCTTTAAAAAAGTCTCCCGAGAGGAAGCCGCAGCCCGTTCCGGTGCTCGTACCCCGCTGCGCCCAGATCCTGCCCCAGAGACGGCTCCTCTCCGGAGCGCGGGGCCAGGAGGGGAGGAGGACAGTGCCTGGGGCGGGGAGCAAAACCCCTTTTGGGGGGATAAAGTCCAGCACGGAGCCTGGGAAAGGCCACGCCAAGCTCCTGACGTGCTGGCTCCGGTCACCGTTAACGCCGCGGCCCCACGGGGACGCGACAGCGGCCGCGGCACCTCCCGCTCGTGTCCCTACTGTCCGTACAGCCCAAACATCAGGAAGCTGAACAGGACGGTGACACCGATCAGAGAGACGGTGGCCGGGGCGGTGAAGAGCTGCCGGTAGTTGATGCGGAAATACCAGACGACCGCCAGCACCACCATGACGGTGGGAACCATCAAGTTCCCCGCGTCCAGGGGAGGGAGGCCGCCGGCGTCGGGGGGGACGGCAGCGGCGTCGCCGGCGTCGGGCAGGGTGGCGGCGGCCCCGCGGGAGCGGTGGCAGTGGATGACGCAGTTGTCCGTGATGCGGAGCGAGCGCAGCGTCCGGCCCTGGTCCTGCAGCAGCTGCCCCCGGTAGATGAACTTCATCTGGTTCTCCTGGCCCGGGAAGTATTTGCTGCGGGAGGAGGGAAGAGTGTTGGAAACGGGGCTCACGGGTGCCCCTAAAGCGACCTGGGGCTGGGGGAAACACCACACCCCCCCCCATTGTAAAAACCCCGTGAGGGTCCTGGCTCGGAGGAGGGGGCAGCAACGGCACCGCCCCCCACGCACCGTCTCATCTTTGAAGCTTGTTATTTGAAAATCGGCACCTCCTCGATATTTTTGGAGGGATCCCTCAGCAAAGCGAGGACAGATCAAAACCCTCCCCGGGCCTCAGGCAGAACAGTGGAGGGGGGGGTGTGCTATTTGTACGTGGGTGGGGGGGCACAAGAGCTGAGGGGAGGGGCGGGGGGGGTGCCAGGCAGCGCTCCCTTGGGTCCCCCCCTCTCCCTCAGCACTCACCTCTTGAGCACCCCCACCGTGTCCTCAGGCCGCGCCACAGCCACCTCCTCCGTGTCGTTGAGGAATTTGAGCCGGATTTTGATGAAGCCGGAGCAGAGGTCGCTCCCCCCCGGGGCGGGTGGCCCCCCCTGGCTACCCAGGGCACTGGGCTCGGTGGCCGAGGTCCTTTTGGGCAAGCTCCGGATGTCCAGCAGCCGCTCCAGAGCGGGGTCGGGGGGACCGCTGCTGTCCCCCTGCTCCACCGCCGGCCCCGATGCTGCTCCCCCTTCCTCTTCTGTTTTCTCCTCTGGGTTTTCGGGGACCCCGGGGGGCTCCGGGGCTTCGGCCGCTCCCGCCGTCCCCACGTTGCCGAGCCGGATGACGGCCGCGTCCCCCGCCGCCACGATCGTTCCCAAAAGCTGGTTGCTGCTGTCAGCGACGTAGGTGGACAGCCACGCCAGGACCAGAGCCAGGACCAGCACCACGACGCCGGCCACCACCGTCACCTCGTCCCCCACCCCTCGGATGAAGGTGGCAGCGGGGGGGTCCATCTCCGGAGCGGGCTGGATTCCCACCCCCCCTCAGCCCGGCAGCTTGTTTTGTGCCTCAACACCCCCCCACACACACGCTCCACGCAGCCCCCCACTCCCCCCCCGTGTCAGGCACAAACCAGCCCTGTGGCAGCGGCGGCGGGGACCCCCCCGGGGCTGCTTCGTCCTCACGTTCGGCCTTAAAATAAATCCCGCTGCTGCTCCCGCTGCACGAAGAGCTGGAGGGAAGAGAGATTTCTTTCCAAGCAGGCGCTTCCTCTTTGCTACCGAGATACTAAACCAGCAAAAGCCCGTGGGACAGTCCCGAGGGGTGGGCAAGGAAGGCGACAGCACCTCGGCGGCGGCGGGACGGCTTGTCAGGAGGCAGAACTTACGGCTCAGGGGTAGTTACCTCGTCCCCGCTGGCAGGAGGGCGATGCTCTCGCTTCCCACGCGCCAATTCGGGAGCGCAGCGCCTGGAACGACAACCCGAGCTGGAATGGGCCAGGGCGGGACGGAGCCGCGGGCTCAGCGGGGGCTGGCGGAGGGTCCCTGAAGCCCCTCGGGGTCCCGGAGCCCGTTAACGGGGGTCAAAACCTTCCCGGTTCCCTCCGCGGCTGCCCCGGGGGAGCGGCACAGCCCGGCGGGGGTGGGACAAGACCCAGCTGGGGAGAGTTAAACCCCCTGGGGGGGGGGGTGGGGGGGTGCGGGGGGGGCTTTATCTGGGCTGGGGGACGGGGGGGGGGGGGGGGGCAGCCCTGGCAGGCCCGGGGCTGTACAGGGGTCCCGCGGGGTCCCTGACAGGCCCCGGGGAGGGGGGCCCGGGGAGACCCAGGGGGGGTCCCTGACAGGCCCGGGGAGACCCAGGGGGGGTCCCTGACAGGCCCGGGGAGACCCAGGGGGGGGTCCCTGACAGGCCCGGGGGAGGGGGGCCCGGGGAGACCCAGGGGGGGTCCCTGACAGGCCCAGGGAGACCCAGGGGGGGTCCCTGACAGGCCCGGGGAGACCCAGGGGGGGGTCCCTGACAGGCCCGGGGGAGGGGGGCCCGGGGAGACCCAGGGGGGGTCCCTGACAGGCCCGGGGGAGGGATAGGGGGGTCCGGTAAGGCCCAGGGGGTCCTGGGGGGTCCGTGACGGCCCCGAGGGGGGGGCCCGGGAGGTCTCGGTGAGGCCCGGGGGGTCCCTGACAGCCCCGAGGGGGGGGGTCTCGTTGAGGCTCAGGGGAGCCCGGGGGGGTCTCTGACAGGCCCGGGGCGGGGGGCACGGGGGATCCCTGACACCCCGGGGGGGGCCCAGTGAGCCCCAAGTGTCCCGGGGGGGGGGGGGGGGCTCCCCGCCCGCACTCACCGCGTCCCGCCGCCGCCCGCGCGCCGGAAGCGCCACGTCACAGCGCCAGCGCCGCGGGGGGAGAGGGGCGGGGCTAAAGGCGCGCGCGCCACGCGTCACGGCCGCGCAGACAAGCCCCGCCCACTGGGCGTGGCCATGGGGGGAGGGCGGTGGCGGCGGAGGGGCGGGGCGGGCCGTGCGGGCCACGCCTCCAGGCTGGAGCGGAAGTGGGCGTGGCGTCTGGGCGGATGGGGCGCCCGGCGGGCGTGGCCACAGCCAGCACGGCGTGGGGGCGGGGCGCCGGGTGCCTCGGGGGTACCCGGTGCCTGACCCCGCCCCTCCCCGTGCTGACTCCGCCCCCGGGCGTGCCTGACTCCGCTTCCTGGGCTGACTCCGCCCCCGGGTCGGGCTGACTCCGCCCCCTGGCCCGTTTGACCCCGCCCCCCCGGGCTGACTCCGCCCTCGGTCCTGGCTGACCCCGGGGCTCGCCTGACCCCGCCCCGGCGTCTGTCTGTCCCCTCCCCGGGTCTGTCTGTCCCTTCCGGCGTCTGTCTGACCCCGCCCCGGCGTCTGTCTGTCCCCTCCCCGGGTCTGTCTGTCCCCGCCCCGGGTCTGTCTGTCCCCTCCCCGGGTCTGTCTGTCCCCTCCCCGGGTCTGTCTGTCCCCTCCGGCGTCTGTCTGTCCCCTCCCCGGGTCTGTCTGTCCCCTCCGGGGTCTGTCTGTCCCCTCCCCGGGTCTGTCTGTCCCCTCCGGCGTCTGTCTGTCCCCTCCCCGGGTCTGTCTGTCCCCTCCCCGGGTCTGTCTGTCCCCTCCGGGGTCTGTCTGTCCCCTCCGGCGTCGTCTGTCCCCGCCCCGGGTCTGTCTGTCCCCTCCGGGGTCTGTCTGTCCCCTCCCCGGGTCTGTCTGTCCCCTCCGTCCCCGCAGACACCTCGAGAGCCGCCTCTGCCACCTCTTTTATTCACACCAGGACACTTGGGGAGGGAGGGGGGGACACACACACACATGGGAGACAGACACAGCGCTGCTGGCCCCCTCCTCGCCTCCCTCCCACGCGGTTTGGGGGTGTGTGTGTGTGTGGGGCGGGGGGGGGCCCCCGTTCAGGAGATGAGCCCCTCGAGGGGCAGCTGGAGGTAGCGGCGCAGGGCGGGTGGCAGGGGCAGCTTGGGGACAGCGGCGTGGCAGCGGGGCCCCAGGTGCCGCCGGACGGCGCAGCGGGCGAGGTGCTGCAGGCGGCGAGGTCGTCCCGCCATGCGCGCCGCCGAGGCGTAGAAATCCCGGTGCTCCTGGGGTTGGGGGGGACACACAGACGCGTGGGGGGGAGCGAGGTGGGGTTTGGGGACACCCCCGGGGGCGCACCCCACCGCACTCCTTTCCCCTTACCTCCCACAGCTCCGGGGGCACGGCCCCCACCCAGCTCTCGGCCGGGGGGATGCGGTCGTAGGCGTTGAGCACCATTTCCAGCGCCGGCGGGTGCCGGCAGCAGAACTTGAGCATCTGCCACCAGAGATGTCACCACGGGGGACACCCCCCACGCACACGCACCCCTGAACCCCCCAGCCAAGCCCCAAATCGCCCACCTTGGGGTGAACGGGGCCGGCGCCGTGGTCGAGGAGGAGGGCGATGGTTTCCTCGGGGCGCTGGTGCCGGTATTCCTCGACGGCGTGGAGGGCGCAGTCCATGGGGGTGTACCCGGCGCAGTTGGGGACGGTCACCTCGGCCCCGTGGCGCAGCAGCAGCCGCACCAGCCGGGGCTGCCCGTTGCCGCAAGCGTGGTGCAGCGGCGTGTGGTCCTTCCGACCGGCGGCCCCGGGGTCGGCGCCGGCTTCCAGCAGCCGTTCGGCCACCCGGTGATAGCGGCCGGCGTCCTCGGGGCGCTCGGCGGCGGCGCAGGCGGCGTTCAGGGGGGTCTCGCCCTGGCGGGTGCGGCGCGAGGGGTCGGCGCCGTGGCGCAGGTACAGCTCCACGTGGGCCACCAGCCCCCGCCGCGACGCCACGTGCAGGGCCGTCGCCTGGCGGTCCCGCGTCCCCAAATTCACCCGCGCCCCGTGCGCCAGCAGCAGCTCCGCACACCTGGGGGGGGGGGGGGGGGGAGGGATGGACACACGGGACGGGGGACACGACACAGATGGGACACATGACGCACACATGTGGGTGAGCTGAGGTTGGGGGACATCCCCACCTCCACCCCGACCCCTGCGACCCCCCCCCAAGACCCCTGAGACCCCATGGGACACCCCTGAAAACCTCTGTGATCCCCCCTGAGACCCCCCCCAAGCTCCCTGAGACCCCATGGGACACCCCTGAAACCTCTGTGATCCCCCCCGAGACTCCTGAGACCCCCCCAAGCTCCCTGAGACCCCACTGGACACCCCTGAAACACCTGTGATCCCCCCTGAGACTCCTGAGACCCCCCCAAGCTCCCTGAGACCCCACAGGACACCCCTGAAACCTCTGTGATCCCCCCCGAGACTCCTGAGACCCCCCCAAGCTCCCTGAGACCCCACTGGACACCCCTGAAACACCTGTGATCCCCCCCGAGACTCCTGAGACCCCCCCCGAGACCCCATGGGACACCCCTGAAACCTCTGTGATCCCCCCCGAGACTCCTGAGACCCCCCCAAGCTCCCTGAGACCCCATGGGACACCCCTGAAACCTCTGTGATTCCCCCCGAGACTCCTGAGACCCCCCCAAGCTCCCTGAGACCCCATGGGACACCCCTGAAAACCTCTGTGATCCCCCCTGAGACCCCCCCAAGCTCCCTGAGACCCCATGGGACACCCCTGAAACCTCTGTGATCCCCCCCGAGACTCCTGAGACCCTCCCGAGCCCCCTGAGACCCCATGGGACACCCCTGAAAACCTCTGTGATCCCCCCTGAGACCCCCCCAAGCTCCCTGAGACCCCATGGGACACCCCTGAAACCTCTGTGATCCCCCCCGAGACTCCTGAGACCCTCCCGAGCCCCCTGAGACCCCATGGGACACCCCTGAAACACCTGTGATCCCCCCCGAGACTCCTGAGACCCTCCCGAGCCCCCTGAGACCCCATGGGACACCCCTGAAACCTCTGTGATCCCCCCTGAGACTCCTGAGACCCCCCAAGCTCCCTGAGACCCCATGGGACACCGCTGAAACACCTGTGATCCCCCCCGAGACTCCTGAGACCCCCCCCTGAGACCCCATGGGACACCCCTGAAACCTCTGTGATCCCCCCTGAGACTCCTGAGACCCCCCAAGCTCCCTGAGACCCCATGGGACACCGCTGAAACACCTGTGATCCCCCCCGAGACTCCTGAGACCCTCCCGAGCCCCCTGAGACCCCACAGGACACCCCTGAAACCTCTGTGATCCCCCCCGAGACTCCTGAGACCCCCCCAAGCTCCCTGAGACCCCACTGGACACCCCTGAAACACCTGTGATCCCCCCCGAGACTCCTGAGACCCCCCAAGCTCCCTGAGACCCCATGGGACACCCCTGAAACACCTGTGATCCCCCCCGAGACTCCTGAGACCCTCCCGAGCCCCCTGAGACCCCATGGGACACCCCTGAAACCTCTGTGATCCCCCCCGAGACTCCTGAGACCCCCCCCTGAGACCCCATGGGACACCCCTGAAACCCCTGTGATCCCCACTATGACTACCCTGAGGCCCTTGGGACCCCCCAGGATCCTGTGGGACCCCCCCAAGACCCCTGGGACCCCCCTGAGACTTCTGAGACTCCCCTGAGACCCCATGGGACACACCTGAACCCCTGAGACACACACACCCCCCCCCGCGATCTCTGGGACCCCCCCCCGAGACCCCGTGGGACCCCCACTGAGACTCCTGAGACTACCTTGAGACCCTTGGGACCCCCCAAGACCCCATGGGACCCACCCCGAGACTCCTGAGACCCTGTCCAAGACCCCTGAGGCTCCGCTGAGACCTCCTGGGACCCCCCTGAAACTCCAGGGATCTCCCCCAAGACCCCATGGGACCCCTCCTGAGATTTCTGAGACCCTTGGGACCCCCCTGAGACCCCATGGAACCCCCCCTGAGACTCCTGGGACCCCCTGAGACCCCGTGGGATCCCCCCCAGGGCCACCCCCTTGGGACCCGGGTGCTGCAGCGTGGGGTCGGGAACAGTGGGTCCCCCCAGGGAGTACTGGAGGGGCGGGGCTTGGAGTCAGGGGCGGGGCTCCGACGTAGGGGGCGGGGCAAGCTGTCTCGGTGGGATGTTTAGAAGCAATGGGTGTGGGTTGGGTGGGGGGTGGAGCCTAGCATGCAGATGAGGGTGTCTGGGTGGGCGGGGCTAAGGGTGCAGGTGGGGCTTTGTGGGCAGGTGGGTGTTGGCATGTACGGGAGGCTGTGGGAGGGGCTTATTTGGGGGTGGGGCTTGGCATACCCCTGAATATGGTCAAGTGGGTGGAGCCTGGCATGCTGATAGAGTGGGTGGAGCCTGGCATGCAAATGAGCACATCAAGGGCCAGGGCCTGCTGGGCCGTGTTGGCTGGAGCCTGGAGGGGGCATGGCTTAAAGGGTGTGGCCTCACATGCAAATGAAGGGCGTGGCAGGGCATAGGGCAGGCTGTCACGCACATTGGAGGGGTGTGGCTTCAGGGGGTGTGGCTTTGCATGCAAATGAAGGGCGTGGCAAGGGCTGAGCATACAGCAGGCTGTCAGGCGCAGTGGGAGGGTGTGGCTTCAAGGGTGTGGCCTCACATGCAAATGAAGGGCGTAGTGGGGGCAGGGTATATGGCAGGCTCTGGGGCATGGTGGAGGGGTGTGGCTTCACATGTAAATGAAGGGCATGGCAGGGCATAGGGCAGGCTGTCAGGCATATTGGAGGGGTGTGGCTTTGCATGCAAATGAGGGGTGTGTTGGGGGCGGGCCCGATGGCAGGCTCTTGGGCGTGGTTGAGGGGGTGTGGCTTCAAGGGTGTGGCCTCCCATGCAAATGAAGGGCATGTCAGGGCATAGGGCAGGCTGTCAGGCATATTGGAGGGGTGTGGCTTTGCATGCAAATGAGGGGTGTGTTGGGGGCGGGCCAGATGGCAGGCTCTTGGGCGTGGTCGAGGGGGTGTGGCTTCAAGGGCGTGGTCACACATGCAAAGGAGGGGCGTGCCGGGGGGGCGGGGCGTACGGCAGGCTGTCGGGCGAGGTGCAGAGGTGCAGCGGGGCCGAGCCCTCGGCGCTCAGCACATTGGGGTCGGCCCCGAAGGCCAGGAGCAGGCGGGCGCAGTCGGGGCGGGGGGCGGCCGCGCTGTCGTGCAGGGGGGCCTGGCCCCCCACCACCGCGTCCACCTCGGCCCCCCGCAGCAGCAGGTGCCGGGCGCAGTCGCCGTAGCCCCGGGCGGCCGCGATGCGCAGCGCCGAGGTCTGCTGCCGCCGGGGGCTCAGCACCCACAGCCCTGCCGGATTGGGGGGGGGGGGGGGGAAGCAGGTGTCACTCCACGCCTGCCCACTCACCTCTAACCCAACACCGGACACCCCCCCCCCCCCCCCCGAAATCCCAGGGGGCTGCTTCTGAACCCCAACATCCACCCAACCTCCACTCCCACCTAGGAAAAGCCCTTGGGGTGAGTTGGGGGGTGGGGGGTGGGAGCAAATCCAGGATTTCCCCCCCTCAACCTTTCCCTGGGCATCATCCCACCACCCCCAAATTAGAACAGTGACCCCTCCTCCCCCCCACCCCCGAGGAGCCGCATCCTCACCCATCACTCCTCACCCTGGCTTCCCTCAGCCCCCCCCTCCTCCCCATTATTTTACAAGGAGCATCCCCCCCCCCCCACCTCCCAACCCCCCCGTACCCTGCTCGGGGGACCACACCAGCTCCTCGCTGACCGTCTCCATGATCAGATTTGCGGTGGCCTCATCCTTAAAGATGCTCTTGACGCGCAGGAGGTCGCCGGTGTACAGGGCGTTGTGGACGGCGGGGTCCCGGCAGTACTGGGGCCGCCGGGGGGGGGTCAGGGGGGGCCGGGGGCTGGCCGGTAGGAACCTTCTGGTGGCCGATTCCCGAGCCAGGGCTCGGCGGCGATCCTCCTGCTCCAACAGCTCCCGCTGGAGCCGCAGCGAGCGCAGGGCAGAAGAGGTGAAAGCGAAGGTTTCCTGGGCCATGGGCACCCCGGGGAGGGCAGGGAGAGGCTGGGGGGGGGGCACAGCGAGCTGCCTCCTGCGCCTGGGTGGGGGGTTATAAATAAGGCTGCGCCCCACGAAGAAAGGAAGCCCGAGCCAGGCTGCCCTATAAATAACTCCCCCAGGGTTGTAAACAGAGTCACGTTGTTGTCGTGGGGCTGCCAGGGAGTTTAACCTGTTGGTGGGTGCGAGATGGGGACAGTCCCGGGGAGGTGGGGGGGGGGGGATTGGGCTGGGATCTGGGTTCCCACCAACCCCGCAAGGCACCTCACACCCCACGGAGGGGGGAAGAGGGAGAGAGGACACCCCACCCCAACAGAAGAAGGGTTTGGGGTGCTGCAGCTCGGCAGAGAGGATGGTGACACGTAAACAGAGAGGGCAATGCAGGGACAGAACAGCCCTTTAATGCGGGTTTGGGAGCAGAGGGGGGCTGACCCCCTGTGGGGACAGGTGCTGAGGCCGTGTCCATCCACACCCCACACCCCACACCCCCCCAAGCTCTTGGCTCCAGAACAAACACAACAGATGAACAGAGAAAGGAGCAGGCGACCGGCCGGCGCTTCACCTGCTTGCTTGGCATCCTCGCTGAGCCACGGTACAGCCTGGGCCGGGCCAGCAGTAACCACCTCCCCGGCCCCACAGCCGTGCCACAGCCCCCCCCGAGGTCAGCAGCAGTCAGCTTGGGCCGGAGAGGAGAAGAAATCCTCAGGCAGCTCCCCCAGGATCCCGTCCAGGTCATCTGCACGGGCACAGGGAAGACGAAATGCCTGAGTTTTACATGTGTGTAGAGAAGGAATCGACTCCACGTACAGTGGGACAAGACCCCCCCCCACCCCCGCCCACCACCATTTGGCATTACCGGGGAGGGGAGACCCTGCCCAACCCCAGGACCTGTTTTCCGCAGGACATCGAGCTTTTCCTGCCCACCCAAGCGGGTCCAACTCACCCATGTCGCCGCCGTCACCTCCCGCCGGCTCTTCTCGCCCGGGCCCGGGGCTCTGCGGGTGCAGGGGGAAGCCCCCCCGAGACTGTTCTGTGCCGTGGCTGCCCCTCCTCAATCGTCCCCAGTCCCCAGGGGCAGGGACACCCTGGGGGGTGTGTGTGAGGTGGCCTGGGAGTAGCTCTGCCTGCGCAGGGACCTGCAAAACCCAGCAGAAATGAATAGCTGGGGGCCCAGGGGAGGATTCATATCCCTCCCAAGCTTCCCCCCTTATTGCTCTCCAGGCACCCCACAGCCCAGACACCCCCCCCCTTGGGGGGGTCCCCAGCATCCCTGTCCCTGCAGGGCCAGCAGCACTGTGCCCTCCCTCACCTCCCGCTGCGAGAAGCTGCCCTCGGGCTCCGGCGGGTAGATCTTGAGCAGGTTGTTGGGGGTAACGTTGAGGTAGTGGTTGCGGTGGGACGGGGAGAAGACGCCCACCTGCGAGGACAGGGGGGGGTAGGTCAGGGCCAGAGCTCCAGTTTCTGCCTGTGCCACCGGCCGCAGCGCGGGGAGGAGCAGGAGGAGCCCCCCCCCATGGCCTGTGTCCCCCCGCCAGGATGCGAGCCCGGCAGTGGGGCAGCAGCACCTGGGGCAGAAACAAGCCCCCGACGCTTCGCTGCTGCCGCAAATCTGCCTCCGCGTCTCCTACCTGCTTCAGGAGCAGCACCGAGCCCGGCCTGAGCTCGCTTTGTCTCTCTTCCAGCAGCAGACGATGCACCGTGCCCTGCATCTCTCCTGCGGACGAGGAGGGGGACCCGTTAGCCACTGGGAGCGACGGCCAGGAGCTCCAGCCCAACTGGGCACGGCCACCGCTCACCAGTCGGATCCCTGAATACGGCACCAGCGTCAACGTTGGTCCTGCTCAGGCTCTTGATCATTACAGCCATGCTGGGGACCTTGTTCTTCGGGAGCTGCTTCAAGGCTGCCTGCACACCAAGACCCCTCGTCACACCGCTGTCCCCAAGGGCCA